GTCATGTGCACCCCGGGGAGTGAAGTCGCAGCCGACCCGCCGAGGCAGAGCCTGCATGCGCTCGATGGCCACCCAGGGGAGACTACCAGGATCCATCACCATCCAGCACGTCGCCCTGGTGACACTTGCTAGCAGATCACAAAAAAAAAAACAGAAGGAAAAGAAAATTTCCAGAGAGAAATTTTTTTAGCTCCTTACTCCTGACGCTAGGCAAAAAACTGGAGACTTGTCAGCAGGTGGGGGGTTGGGCCACCAGCAGGGGCCGCCCCTAGGCTGTCTAAGTCTTTTTTTGTTATGTGCCTAGCGTCCTACTCCTGCAGGTGGCGATATACCCTACCTTTCAGGATCTCTGATCTGTTGCCCTGTGTCCTTCAATGAACGGGAGAGAAATAGTTAGACTCCAAGTATAAAAGCACATAAGCAAAAGAGGAGTCAGTAGTCAGTATACATAAAAAGCACACAGCTATATTACAATAAAAAGGGAGGGTAAAAATGTCCCTTCCCCACAAAACCACCTCATGTCAATATACATAGGTGTTCGACTCACAACTTCACAGGCTTGTTCGCAACATAACAGGAATCCCCAGATAATACTGGCCTGACTGTTAAGTAACAAACAGGACCACCACAGCATGAAGCATAGTACTGAGTACCAGAAACAACCTGCTTCCTTACAACCAGAGAAACTTCCTGGAGTTTTTCGGCTAGCTAGAGAGACTTGCAGGATGTGTTATCATCCGTTATGAATCAACTTGCAGGCATGAGGATTTTTTTTGCCCAGTGTCCATTTCTCCTGGAGGAAGCAGCAAAATCCTATGTCTAAGAATTCTGCAGAGCTTATCCCTCAGTGTTATGAGAAATAACAGTAGCGAAACCCCCCAATGTTGCACACAAGGGTGCCACACTTGATGGAATAAATTAAAAAGTGAAAAATGGAAGGACTCAGCAGGGGACAGCGCCACCAGCTGTCGAGGTCAGGCCCTAAACAAGGAGCCCTGCAGGTTGCACCACAGATAGGAGGTACCTGAGCAACCATAAAGGCCGTGACACACTGCACGCGAAGCAGCGTGGACGCGCTGCCTTCGCGAGCAGTGTGTCATGCCATTTTCTCCTCGGCACCTCAGCTTGCGAGAGCTCGCGGAGCTGAGCGTGCCGAGATGAACAATTTCAACTTCAGCCAATCGGCTCGCGCGTCTAAACCATCGCGTTGCGATAGCTGGCAGGTTGTTACGGACGAGCCGATTGGCTGAAGGTGCTGTCAATCATCTGACTGCACTCAGCTCACACACTGCACGCAAAGCTCCGTGCCGGATAGCTTTGCTTCGCGTGCAGTGTGTCACGGCCTTAAATGTTCAGTAGGGCAGGTAGACAGAGAGGAAGAGCAAGCCACATAAATACCCATTCCAAACAGAAATTCCAGAATCAAAATGAAGACATTGAGAGCTTAAGGTACAAGATAAGGCAAAGATGTGCAGACCAAAATCAGTTCGAACTAGAGCTGCCACAGTTAATCGATTTAGTCAATTAAAATCGACGATTGAAAACGTTGGCAACGTTTTCGATCGTCGATTCGTCGGCTATCGATTGATTTGCCTGTTCTGAGCCACACGTCTCACGCTGCTCCCGCTGTGCCCACCGCACAGGACGCTGAAGCCACGCCCACCGCACAGGACGCTGAAGCCGCGCACCCCGGCGCCGCTGCTCTCCTCCTCGACGCGATCTCCCTCACTCGTCGCTGGCCCGCCGACAATCGAGGAAAAACAATCTGCTGAAAGCAAGTCAGTGGTGGACCAGGTGTGTGGGGGTGCAGTGTGGACCAGGTGTGTGGGGGTGCAGTGTGGACCAGGTGTGTGGGGGTGCAGCGTGGACCAGGTGTGTGGGGGTGCAGTGATGGAACAGGTGTTCAGTGTGGAACAGCTGTGAGGGGAGGCAGTGGTGGACTAGGTGTATGGGGGTGCAGTGTGGACCAGGTGTATGGGTGTGAAGTAGTGGAATAGGTGTATGGGGGTGCAGTGTGGAACAGGTTTGCAGGGATGCAGTGGTGGAATAGGTGTATGGGGGTGCAGTGTGGAACAGGTTTGCAGGGATGCAGTGGTGGAATAGGTGTATGGGGGTGCAGTGTGGAACAGGTGTGCGGGGGTGATGTGGAACAGGTGTGCAGGGATGCAGTGGTGGAATAGTTGTGTGGGGGTGCCGTTGTGGAACAGGAGTACAGGGGTGCTATGGTGGAAGAGGTAAGAGTTACACCACACAAGCCGGACAAACGCCCGCAGAGCACGCCGCCGCCACTTACAAGGGTTCAGAAACAGGTAAGGGGGACCTGTTTTAATGTTTTCTATTTAATAATAAAAAAAAAAGCAGCACACTGTAGAACACCAGCAGCTATAAAGGAACACCATATCCCAGTATAATATCCCAGCAATAATATATTAAGCAGCTTGTATAATGTATTATTGCTGGGATTTGCAGTTCCTCTATAACTGGTCAGTGGTAATCTGCATTGCGCAGTATAATCATTATACAGCGCAATGGAGAATACCACCAGCTATAGAGGACTACAAATCGCAGCAATAATACATTATATACAGCGCAATGCAGAAAAACGCCAGCTATAGAGGACTACAAATCCCAGCAATAGTACATTATAGTATAATGTACTATTGCTACATTCCTCTATAGCTGCTGGTATTCTGCACTACGCCGCTGTATAATGTACTATATTGCACACCACACTTTTTTTTTAACTTCCACTGCGCCAAGCTTGCTCCCGTGATGGACTACAATCTCAATAAAAACTAGTAGTCCATCACTGGAGCATTTTTTTCCCTTCTTTTTTACCAGATTAATCGAACTTAATAAATCGGCCAACTAATCGATTATGAAAATAATCGTTAGCTGCAGCCCTAGTTCCAACAATTCTTTTTTTCAGGTAGGATACAGAGTCCGCATCAAATAACAGATCTGCAGAGGAATCCTGATCGGATTTAGAAAAATTCAACATGTCTGTCAGATTTAGGAGGAAAAACATGGTAATTTCCTATGGGTCAGAGGTGGTCCCTAGCTGAAAGAGACCATAAGGATACTCCCTGAGGTGCCCTGACATATGAAAAGCAAGCCCACTTGCGTGTGCCAGAGATGGAAGTGGCAGTCAAACAAGCTAAAGGTTAAGCCCTGCAGTGTTAACGTGATGTCACCAGGTGCACTACACCTTTAAGGCTTGGTGGTACTTCAAATGTATGGCACTCTAAAATCCCACATTGATTGACACCTTAAGTGCCACAGGGGACAGGTGGGATACAGTCATCATTCTAGCACTCCATGAGGTTTAGACACACCTGGCTCCAAGACCCTTTTATATGCTAGTGGCAACAAAGCTTTCAATTCCGAGTGCACTAGAATAGTGGCATAGCGTAGAAAAAGGAAAGCATATTGTACAGGTGTTATGTGATGCGTGCAGTTCTCTTGCCTCAGTTAGTGTAGGTTATGTGCACCAGCAGCACATTACTGGCAGTCAATGCTGTCCAGATTGGGCAGGAAGGTGCTGGCAGTGGCTGTGGGGGCTGCTGTTAGAAGTGTTTGTGGTTATTTGCATGCACGTGCTTACACACGTCCCCAACTCTGCCCCCATTGTGACAATAGAGGTTGGTGTCCTTGCTAACTGGCGCTGTCATGCCACATTACTGCACCAGCCTTTTTGTTGCCAGTGTCTATTCCACTTGTAGTTGGCAGTATAACAGTCTAAGAATTCCATTGTCACTCAAATGAGAAAAATGATAGTTGGCTTACCCAAAAACCTATTAAAATAACCTTTTAGCAGAGCAGACCTTAAAATGGTGGTGTGTTTGCTTGAAGAGGTAGGAATAGGTGGCATAGCAGGAGCCAAGCTGTACAGTTAAGCCACTCAGTTACTGGAGCCCTTCTCTGCAATAAGATTTGTGGGCAGCACCTACTCATAATAAATATGCTTGTAACACTGTCTTCAAATCAGCTTTTCCATGCATCACAAATGCAGCAACACTGCTAGAAGCAGCAATTGTGCAGAAACCTAAGTGGGGTTGAGTTTGGACCCTCATTGAAGAATGATGGTCTCTGTAACCTTTATCTCACCGAATAAAATATTAGAAGAGGCTTTCCGGCTAAAAAGTTCATTCTGCAGTGGGATGAAAGTGTGTATAGTAGGTGCTATTGATCATTAAAAAAAAAAAAAAGAAATATGGTACTTTAGTTTGGATTTGACCTGAGTACAATAGTTTAATTATGACCCTGATCGCAGATCTTAAAATAATTTGACGCAAATGGTCAAGTTTCAAGCCTGTACATCTTTCATAATAATGACAAGTCTACAAGTGTGTATAATTCTCTAGAAACATATACTTGCCAGCATAAGTACAGCATACATCAATTGGAAGAGAATAAGCTTTAGTTGCAAGCAATATGGAAACTGCTCCCTGGCCTGGTTGCCGATACAGACAGGGGATGTTACAGCCAATTTTGTGGACATAGAAAACAAGACACATCATATAAGGTTCTTATTTATTCCAGTTTCTGTGAAAAGAGGTTTTGGTGGGATTTGTAAGTCAGAATCATTTAAATACTTAATAAAGAAAGCAAAAAGTATTTACAAATTTCATTATTTCTTGGTTTAATAATTACAAGAACCTCCAAAACATTTTGGAAGGACAAATAACCAAAAGGCTTTGCTTTCTCTATAAATACAGAATTTGCTAGGGTCGAGAGATGCCTCTTTCCAACACATGGTGATCGAAGTTAAAATAACATAAACTTCTAACTCCCAAGAATCCAAAAAATGCTGCATGAAACAAAAAGGAAAAAAAAATCCCCAAAATAATAATAATAAAAAAAGCTTGTGTACACCCATGTGCAAGCCTTCTGTCAACAGCCCACACATGGCAGGCTTCCCGCCATTCTTTGTCTTGTGCCAGGCTACCTCCTACCCTGTGCCAGTCTTCATTACTCAGCCAAGGAGTCAAAACTCTCACAAATGCAAAATCATTGGGATTGATGTATTTATCTGTTAAAAAGTCAGCAGGGAATGAGGGGAAAATGGAAGCCCCAGTGAAAACTAAGAGCAAGCATAAGGGAAAATTTGTTTCAGTCCTTGTGATCAGTATCTGATTCATCTTCTGCTTCCCGCAGCCATGTGAAGAAGGCGGTGACAGATTTTAGAGCGACTCCTTTTCCCTGCTGTTCAGCCGGGTCCTTGCTGGATTCCCACTTGTAGAAAGGTTCCTCTTTTATCACATCCTCATCATACAGGGCATCAAAGAACATCCTCAGCAGATCTGCAGGGGGAACAAATGATCAATTGAAAATATTGTACATTTTCCTTTTTACAAGAACACACTTTAGATCAACACACAAATTACAAATTTCAACTGTAAAATATCAGTGTCATTTACCACCTTATGGGGGATAAGCATTAAAAGGTGACAGTGCTGGGTTGTTATTCAATATTCTTTGAACAGACAATAAACCAAAAGGTTGAAGATGGTTTAATTGCTATAATCTAAGCATATAAACTACATTCTAATATACATGTATATGCACTATGCTACTGAATACATTGCCAAATATATCCATGATACCAAATTTAAATTCTCGAACATACTGTATGCATAATGTATGCATGCAGACCTACAGTCACTATATATAGTCCAAACACAATCTGATTGATACTTACTTGGGGGCTGATCTAACTTCACAACAAGTGCCTGTAGAGCATATAATGCCTGCAACTCCTTTGCTTCACTATTTAGGTATTTCTGAAGTAACTTTGCTCTGATGTGAATCACAGCTACATCGACTCTATAGGGATTTTCAACTGTAGGGGAAAAACGATCATTAAATTTAAAAAGGGAAATATTTAATCTCAAACAGGAATGTATGGTCGTATTAGCATTTTTAAATACATACAAAAGAAAAAATCACTTTGATGAAAATTTAAAAAAAAGAGTAAGGTTTTAAAACATGGTGTATAATCTGTAATGATCTACATATGTCAGTCATATCTGCTAATCACATTTTCAGACTGCAAATGGTTGTGTTTTTGCTGTTCATTTTCACAATTAAAGAGTCAGTTGCATCAATAAAAATATACAATGCACTGCGTGGCCGATATCAACTCTCAACAGCTGTTAAAATGTATGCTTCTTCTTATTTTATCCCTTTAAAAGCTGCAAGTACAGAAAAATGGCAACATAGCGAATGTGCCACGCTAACAGGCCCATGAAAAACAGTTTGTTGTTGAACCTGGGAGGACCACATCTGGCTTATTCTACCTGTGACCTAGGCTCTGGAACACCTCTGGGCTGGCCTCAGGTGCTTCCGACAGAGGAAGTCAATTGTCCATGCCCAGGGAGAAAACAGCAGACAAGGCCCGAACATGAAGTTCTGCCCAAGACAGAATCCCTTCTACTTAATGGTTGCTGTACACCACTTCTCTGGCAATGTCCAACTGGATACTTAATGGATGACCCTCCCAGTTGGAATATCCAGTATTGTGTCCCACTCAAATTGCTCAAAATACCGATTCGGAAAGGAGATTTCTTTGGCGCCCAAGACCCCTGCATTGACAGAATACAGGCTGACATCCTTTGTGAAGATGTTTCAAAAAATCAGAATGATGGAATTTCTGGGATACTCAGAGCATAGCAGGGGCCAGAACCTTGGTGAACACTTGAGTTGCAAAGGACAGACCAAATGACAGGACCACAAACTGGAAGTTCTGAGCACCCACAGCATAGCGAAGGAAGGGCTGGACATAGGGGCACATGCGAGTATGCAAGTTAATGTCCACAGAGGCCAGAAAGTGTCCTTGATGGAGTCTATGACAAAGCAAGTAGATTTTCTGGATGTGAACCCAGAGACTTGGTGGCTTCATATCCAACATGAGGCAGATGCCCCCTTCCGGTTTGGGGACTACAAAAAGGTTGACATAGAACTTATGAAATCCTTCCAGAACTGCAGATTTGAAGATAAACTGGGGAGGGGCAGAAAACAAAACTCTAACTTGTAGCCCCTGGAAACCACCTCACGTACCCAGGCACTGGATATGCCACCTGTCCAGGCGCCCCTTCATGACAAGAGGATTTGCCAGAAGGCTTCGAATTGGAAGCCCAAAGCTTGCGGCTATACCGGGTACTTGGGTTGGGTCTGGATTTTAAGGTTTAGGCCTGAACAAAAGGAACTCTACATGGCCTATGAAAAGAGGATGGGGTTTTCCCTGCCTGAGGTCTAGGCTTCTTCTGCTGGGGCAGACGAGTACTCATATGACCCAGCAGGCTGCCATGGATGAAATCACAGGTTCCATGGCAGTATCAGAAAACAAAGCCCTAAAGAGGGCCTCAATCTGCTTATCGACCAGGTTCTTAAAAACAGGACCATCTTCCATCAAGGAACCATCAAGGTCTTAATGTGAGAAATGGCCAGACCCATCACAGGGACAGCCCACTTCTTAAGGAAACCTTCTTCGATAGAGTATTGAATATGTTAGAGGGGGAGAGAATCTTTAAGGATGAGGCCAGTCACTGTACAGAACAGTCTATAAGACCAAGTGGAGTAGAAAGGTCTTAGCAGGTTCTCTATTGCCAGATGTAACTGCACCCAAACTATGTTTGGGAACATGTAACATTCAAGTTACATAAAAAAAATAAAAAAAGAAAGAAGATATTGCATATTATATTATAAGGGATTTATATTGGCTGTGAGAAGTTGTGTATACTTTAGTTAACCCGGTCTATATTGTCCTGGCAGATTGCATTATCTATTGTAAACAAGATTTGAGCACTGCAATTCGACCTATAAAAATCAGACTTGGTGGCTGAACACTTTCTTGAAAGGAAGAGTGTGCCTGAGGGGAGAAAATTAGTAGAGAATTTAAAAAACTAAATCACTTCCACAGGGAAAAAGGAGCCAAAAAAGGGGGCAAACTTCTGTCAGAGAGAAGATGCCCATCACCTAAGGACACTGACAAAAAACAACTGAGGCTTGCTGGAAGAGGTAGGGTCTAGGCTTCTTCCGCAGATGAGTGCCCCAGCAGAAGGGGCTGGGGCAGCATGGGGGCTGACCCTGTTGCTCTTTTTTTTTGGTCAGTGTCCAATCACCTGAAAGTAGCTCCATATAACCCAGGGTTAAGAATAATGATCCTGTGCCCTTTATGATTTAGAATAACTTCCTACTCAAAAGCTGCTAGATATTGTTAACTGTGTTGAATATTTTCCACCTTAGGGTGTACTAGTGCAGAAAGGGGAGGGGCTTTTAAGAAATACTATAAACTCTCTTGATATAAAAAAATAGTGGAAATATTTGACACGTCAATAAATATTTCCACTATTTTTTATATCAAGAGAGCCCCTCCCCTTTCTGCACTAGCACACCCTAAGGTGGAAAATATTCAACACAGTTAACAATTGCTATTTGGGGTGTGAAATCTTGCTCTTATTTCCTTTAATAAACGCCCACTAAAACTTATCTACAAAAGCAGCTAGATATGTCACGTATGGCTTGTTTTAATCCCTCCACTGCTTGTTCACAATATGCAAATACTTTAACCCCTTCATGACTGAGGCCTTTTGTTCATTTTTTGCACCCATGTTATATTCCACATTTTAGGCCTGAAACTTAAAACCCCTCATCAGAAGCGATCTGGCGACAGGTAAGTCGCCAGGATCGCTTCTGTTGTAAAGCCGACAGTCGGCTCTACAAGTTTAAACAGACTCCCGGCGGCAAAAGTCGCCGGGAGTCTGTTTAAACAGCCCCGATGCTGGCGACGTACACTGTACGTCGTCAGTCACGAAGGGGTTAATGTCCATAGTCAGGGCACAGGTGTACTGTAAACCAAGAGCAAAAATATGAAAGAGCAAGCAACGCTGGGCAAAAGAAAATTTAAATACAAAAATATGTGTTCACTGAAATTTATACTTTCCTATAACAAGTTTAGCATATCAAAATGAGAACCTGATCATACTTACAGATAATGGCAGAGTGGCATACGTTACTCATCAGAGTACGGACAAAAGCGTTGGATGCCAGCTGTTGATCAGAAAGGTTGGCCTGTTGGTAAAAAAAACCAAAAGTAAATATTGAAACTGCACCTACAAAGTTGGGCGTCAGCTGCAAAACCATAATGTCACAGTGTTTTCTTACTTCAATCCAATCAAATATCTTCTGGTTGCTGGTGTTCTCTTTCAATAGCTTCATAAGCACATTCTCTAGTTCTGCCGGTGAAAGATCTTTCTTGCTTGGTGACTCAGTCTCATCTCCCAAGGTGTACTCTAGTTTCTACACAGGGAAAAAGAAAAAACAAGTCATTTGTGGCTTGAAGAACATTTTGTTGATTATCGCTGAAAGAATACAAAGTTGAGAAAAGCAGTTGTTAACCCTCCATAAAACAATTTATACTTACCAACTTTCCCTTAACAGCGTACCATGTGTCTATCGCTAGATCTTGATAACGGCATAAGATATTGAGAATAGGGACGCTAATAAAAGGGTGCTTTCTTGTTCAAACTTGCCCAGCATTGACATAGAAAGGAAATAGTAGGATGAAGACTAGCAACAACTCAAATCTCTGCCTGTACATATTGCAGTTACGTTACAGGGACAAACATCTGTTTTTGAAGAAAGCTTTGAAAATTTTCTAAACATATAATCATGTTATGCCATGTTGCCTTTTTGGATGCAAAGATTCCTGAGCGAATCTGTTCTTTTAAGCTCATTCTTGACAGTCCTGTGTTTTTGTTTAATACACAGTGCAGCAGAAAGATGTGCTAAATGGATGAGGGTTTTTTAGCGAGTGATGGTAGAGATTTTACATATGACAAGGAACCAACATATGTGTATGGATCTAGAGCAAAGCAGACTGCATATAACAAAGATGTGCTGATGTGGAGGTATGGTACCCTAGCTAGTCCTAGCTATCTTGGTGGCTCAACTTATCTACTGCAGTCAAGCAACACAGCTAGCATACTTCCCTGCCTACAGCCTCTTACTGATGAGATCATCTCAAGCGTGTTCTGTGTTAACACATGTGAATGCAGGACATCCGATTGCCAGTTTACAAGCTTTAGTATTTGGTAAAAGGCAAAATAAAGTCAAATTTTGGAACTTACACTTTGTATTTGAAAAGAATAAAAAAAAAATATCATCTTTTCTAAATACACTAGGTAGTATAGGTATTTTTTTCCCTCCTATATCTGCCTGAAGTTCAACGGTAGGTTGAAAACATACATAGAACATGGTAGACATGTTTGCTGAAGGACCTGAGGACAGAGGAAACAACTGACTTTAATCATTTTCATTTAGTTGAAGAAAAGACAGCGCATGTACTTACATTTTCACTTATAAACTTGTTCACATCCTGATCTTTTGACAAGAATTCCTTCCAGCTGAGCCCAGATTCTTGCCATAGAGCCCCTGCTTTCTTATGAGACTACAATAAAAAGAGCAAACCGTTCATTATACATTTACAAACTCATACAGGCTGAATACCCACACCAAAGTATTGTAAACACACACAGCTCTGACACTCACCATTCCTTTGCACTGCAGACCTAGGATTTCTGCTAGAAGGATGCCAGCCTTTCCAATTGGAACTAAAGGCTTTGTAAGTTCTCTGAAAACACAATATAAGAAATGTTGCAATTTGAGCTCAAGATTAACAACTGCACAACACGCCATCTTGAATCCATGAAATGTATTCTTACCTGAACAACTCTCCCATTGGAATTCCTTCCTCTAATAGGACTGGGCTGATAAGCTCAGCCAAGTAAAGCCATATGTGAGGTATGTCGATCTCCATATCGTCTGCCACCTCAAGTACTTCTAACACGCTGCAAGAAAAAGGGCGTTTATGAATTGTGAAACTGCGGTAGTGTATGTTATGATATTTTACAATTATTTCAGTAATCATCTTAATAAATAAAACAAGCTAATTAATTTTGCGCCATTCACAATTCTACAACCTACAGTACATACTCATTTCCTAAACAGAAAACTACCTCTCTGCAATATAAAATGGCCAGTCTTTGTAAACTAACAAATCCCTTTTCCAAACAGGCCCACAAATTAAACATATTTTTTAGCTTTGGACCAAGTAGGAAATCAGAACCTCTGTTGGATTATCATAGTTGTTTGTACACCATGTCTTGTACTGATGACACCAACACACAGGGTACTGCCAGGAGAGAAAGGAGTTCAACTCTTTCCTCACATTACCATTTGTCTATTACTGGAATCACCAAGAATGTCATTTTTTTAAAAGTGCTGCAAGTTTTACTAATGCATTAAAGGGTTTTAGACTTCACATCAGCGGGTAAATCTGAAGACAAACAGCAGACAATTATTTCACTTCTCCATAAAAACATTGTCATTTTGTCTCTGTGGAGATTTTCCCTCATTGCCAGTCACCATGCCAAGGATAAAAAAAAAAAAGGAAGATAAAGTCTCCACTTGGGGGGGCTGTATAGCAACCATTATGTTGCTATACAGCCTCAGGGGTCTGCAGTCCCGTCCGTCCGTTTTTTTACTACGGGCGGACGGCAAGAGGTTAAAGATTTTAAGTTTCCACACGTATTCCGCCTGACGTAGGTGGTAGCCAAGGGTCACCACAGATAAGTGGCACAGTGACCAGGGGTGGTGTGGGATTGAATAGTATTGTGTGTTGGTTCATAGTTACATAGTATTTGAGGTTGAAGACATAAGTCTATTGCGTGTGTATTTATGTTTGATCAGGTGTGTGCGTGTGTATTAGTCCATGTATGATTTCGCTCTTAGGAGTACCTGTACCCCTGTATGTTATTGTCTCCGAGGAACTCGTCCAGGAACTTGTTTCTTGAATGATTCCACACTTAGCTGAAATCACTTCCTGCGACAGCGAGTTCCAGACCTTAACCGCTCTGACTGTGAAGAACCCAGTGCGCCGTGTTGAAATTTTTTTCCTCCAATTTCTGGTGGTGCCCTCTGGTCTTTGTTAAATTTTTGTGATAAGGTGAACTAACCCTTTATTTTGGTGAATGTAATAGGAGGGGCTGGAAAGCACTAAGGTTTATCTCAGAATAGTGATCCTGCTGCTAGCAACAACTCTCCATTTGCATTTTTGGCAGCGAGGGAGAAACGACAGGCTCATATAGCCAGTAAGGGAGTGACACATACAAACAGGTAACGCCACTGAACATTTTCAGCAATCGTAGAGGCAGAGCCTAAGTTCAGTGAACACCAAAGACTCCAAGGTTGAAAGAAAGGCAGAACTTTCAGGCTGACGGACTCCTCAGAAAACACTACAAAATCAAGCTGAAGCTGATTTATTTAAGTGTATTTCCACTTTTGCAGCCAAACTGGGATAACACCTATTTTACCATTTCACACATTCACATTGCATAGGCTAAACAAATTGCTTCTTGAATTTTAAATAGTTTTTTTACTTATTAAAATGTCTACTACTTCTCCTTCTTTGTAATGTTAGGAGGGGCTGTGAGGGGTTTGCGTTAACCCCGACTGTACTGTGCTGGCTGATTTCATGTAAAGTAGATTTGAACACTGCCTGTCGTAACAAAGGGTTAAAGGATTGAAACGCTGGCTTCTGCATTGTATGGTTATGAGATTACCACATTCAACACATGTCATTTTTCGGTATGCTGTGTGAATGGGAAAACAGAGGGGTTTTCTCAAATTTCACTGCAAAAGTGGTATTACACTAACAATTTTATTCTTACTGGCTGTTCGAAATAAAGGTTTAAACCCATTTGGAAAGGCAAGTTCACAAATGCTAGCAGTACATGAAAACACTGTATATTAAGGGTTACACGAGCTAAGTCGTGCACTAAAATTTCACAAAATTGTTAAACAGAAAGGAATGAAAAGTACTAAGCATTCATTAACAGTAATGTGTTAACCTACAATTTTCAGTACTGTGGTATGTTTTGTATCAATAAAATATAACAATTACGATGCGTAACCTTGACTGTTACTTACCCTTTATAATACTGTTCTCTGGATAGTGTACCAGATTTCACCACTGTATACAGAAGATGACCCATATGTTCACGGGCAATAGTGCTCCTCTCCAACGTTGACTCGATAGCATTCCGTACAAAGATAAAAAGCAGCGTTGGGCTATTAAGTTCCTGCACACACTGGACTGCCTCCTGCAGACAGACAAGAATGTGTTAGAAGAATTCAAAAGAAGTGGATCAGCATACATATATCTCAAGTAAATAACCACCTCACCTTTGCATCATTGAGATGTAGAAACTCTTCTATGATTGATTTAGATTTTCTTTCGAGTTCTTCCTCAGACAAGGCAGGTTTGGCGGAGGTAGTGGTGACAGCCACCGGTGCTGGAGTTTCCTTCTTGACTAAACAGACATAATGAAAAGCATTTATTGTAGCAAGTAGGGCCAACAAGGAGGATCACTCAACAGACATGATTAGAAAAAGTAAACTCTTTAATAATATTGTACTTACGACTTTCTTTGCTGCGGTCTCTTGGCTCAATCATACTGGCCACTTTTCTCACGGCTTCCTGTGGAATCTGTGCTTCTCTTTCTCTACTGCGGTCATCTGTCTCCTTGCTATAACTCCTCTTTGTGATTACAGCCCGGGATCGGTCAGAGCGGTCAGGCCTCTCAAAGAGATCACTTTTTTCATATCTCTCACTTCTATCAAATCGTTCTCCTCTGTCTTTATCAGAACGATCACGACTTGAACTACCTCTGCAAAAGAGAAGCAGTTAAATCAGTATATCAATGCTAAAAAACCCTTTCGCTGCTAGGCCCTACACTCCACTTTTCACCCTTGGTGGCAGATCATTTTTTGCCATTTTTGTTGATTCCTGATGTACAGGCTTTAGCATTTGTAAAATATTTTTTTTGAAGAGCATAGTGTGCCAGTTTCTACTCTGGAAGACATTTATCCGAGCACTGAATGTGGATTACAAGGATGCATGATAGGGGTGAGCTCTGCATTTTGTATTTCTAATATTGAAAGTTTTGAAATCGGTTCTTTTGAAATGATATATGATTAAATCTATGGTCAATTGGTAACAATAGCCTCAACAAATCATCACAGTCTGAAACCACACAAACTGAAAACACACAAACTTATAACCTAGATCCAATTCTACAGCTGGAGCACAGAGAAGAAAAAAAAAAAATCTAGTTTCACTTTTAAAGTGTAATCCTCCTATAAAAATACATGGCTGACAGTCACATGTTAGCCTGACTTTTTATCCTCATTCTTCAATCTGAAGAGGATCGAGTACAATTTGCAATATACAGTCACGAGTATGACAAAATCAACATACCTGGAAACAGGCCGCCTGGCATCCTGACTCTCTGCAGATGATTGCTGAAGAGCAGAAAACCTATTAAGTGTGCTGGGTCGTCCAGATTCTGGAGCTGAGAAAGAGACAAAAGTCATGAAATAAACGGCCGAAGCATCAACTACAAGTTGAACACAATAAAAACAGATGTAGCTTACCTGACTCAGCAGGCTTTGCTCCAGCGCCTCCACTGCCTCCACTGCTTCCTTTACCCCAACTTAAACGTCCGCCAGGTGCCAACAGTTGATTAGAGTCTATTGCACCAAGCTAAAATGAAATGCAGAGCCAACATTTAATACTTACAAAACAATATACCTAACAAAGCAAATAGTTTTCTTGGCATATGAACTGCTAATTACCCACCTTCGTTATTTTACTGATCCTAGTGGTGTCAATAGGACGGCTTCCTTTGGTAATGGGCACAGTGTTCCAACCATCATCCGATTGCTGATTACTACGTCCACCAGCGGGTCGTCCTTGTGGCTCTCGTCTTTTGTCTTGTTTGGACATTAGCTGCTGAACCTTTACATGTTCCCTCTGTTTTTCCAATTCTGCATCTTTATGAATCTGATCTATAGTCTTAGGTCCCTGGTCTGCACGACGTGGCACCCAATTGCACTTCAGGAGGAAAGAGAATGAAACTTAAAGACTGCAAAGACTGCACTTATAGTAAATACTTTAAACAAAAATGTGATATCATGCCAGGGCCAAAAAGACATTATTATGCGGTGGTTTATAATATAATCCTGAATCGTCTATAGTGTTCTTACCATTCTTAGATCAATGAGATCCTGAAGCATGAAACGGATACGAGAAGAGGTTTTTCTTTCTTTGATAATTTTATCCATTTGGTTAAAATATTGATCCATTCGAGGCTGTTAAAAAAAAACAAAAAACAAGTGAAGGGCTGCTGACAGCAGATGCTAAAGAGCAAAACATTTTCAAATGAGGATATTTGTGAGGAAATGACTGTTGCATAAAAAACAACTGGCCAGTATATCCATTATAGTCCTATTTACAGACGATCTTGAATGTCGATATCACAAATGAAAACAGACATGTCAATGGCAGAGAAAAAAAAAAGAAAAGCATATACTGGTAGCAAAAAAAAACTTTGCAACTTGTACAAACAATTCTTTTAATTATACATACAGGTGGAGTACATTGAAGTGGACAGGTTTGACAGGACAGAAAGGTCCTTTATTTTTAAGTTATAGTGATTAAATATTTCTGACATCTGCAAATAATGTGATAAGTCTGAGTATTGTGAAAACTGTATTCCAATATGCTGGATAATCTCTATGACCAGTTAAAGATCATACCTAAAATATAAATTGTCTGGTGACAGGCAGATCTTATTTAACAGATCTCCTTTAGATACAAGTCTAATTGAGCACAGATACAGTAAAAGGAATGACTGCTTAGAAAATGTTGAGATTTTCCAATCCTTCAATTTTCACAAGGCCACTCTTACCATTGTCTAAAAATGACATGCACTGCGAGTTTGTAGCATTACCTGTAAAATCTGGCACTATCTACATAACTAAATATATTCAAAGGAGGAAAAATGAAACCTGTAAACATGTATTAAGTAAAGGAAGTTTAGGTGAAAATGTGTGTGAAAAAGACAGATTAAGAATAGTTATATAAAAGATGCAGACCTTAGCTTTTTCAAAGTCCAAGTCTTTCCCAATTGTGGACAGCAATCGGGACAGACACTCTAAAGACTCTGCATCGTGGTTCTTTAATAACTTGACTACACAATCATGCATAATGGCTTCAGTCAGCATTTTCAATTTGAAAAGCTCTCCAATGAATTTAATGTTGCCTAGAGATCTGCGCCTAGCAATATCCTTCGCTTCTATCAGTTCATCATTTAGTCGCGTCTTCTCTTCTGGCTGCAGATATAAAAAAAAACACACACATTAAAGTATTGAATGCAACAGTTAGGAGAGTTCCATAAATATAGCCCCTAAAGAATTAGAGTTTAATGCAAGTCTGCACAATTACCGTGGAAGCAGCATCTAATTCTTTCTGCTTCTTTTCAAACACTTCGTCATCATCCTTATCCTTTTCAAACTCCTTCTGGCAGCGGTTAAGTAGCAGCTTGCGGAAGTTCACAGTCACTCCCGGCTTGTCTGTAGTTGGGACTTTCAGCTAGGTAAGAGAAAGAAAAAAAATGCAGAAAAATGAAATACTTTAAAAATGTTCTACATTTTTTTAAATATGCAAATAGTTTTATAGTTATTACCAAACTGACATTATTGAAAGGTATCATTCCAGTTTACACTATGTGTTTAACCAAAATGAGCACTGTGTGAGACATTTGATATGTAAAGGAACTAAAGCTGTATTTGAGCTGTCTGCCTGAAACAGAAGCCCATTTAAGATGAATAGAAGATAATTTGTAGCCAATGCCAACATATAGCAATCTACCGTGTTTCCCCGAAAATAAGACACTGTCTTATATTTTTTTGGCTCAAAAAAAACACACTAGGTCTTATTTTTGGGGTAGGTCTTATTTTTTTTTTAATGTACAACAATCCAAAGTTAATGCAAATCAAAAATTAAATAATCCAAAATGGCAAAGTTAAGAATAGTGTGATCGGGGGGATTGGGGGTCCCGTACCTTTCCAAGAGCAATTTGGTAACCAATCGCTGGCCAGAATGAGCAAAACTAACTTTCACTATCGATTCCTCGCTGGTGGAGTGCATTTGGTATCACTCCGCCTGTGACAGGAGGCGGGGCTATAGAGGAAGCGTCGGCTTATGCGGCTCTGCTCCCTCCGCTGCCGCCTCGCTTCCTCTAGCGCTGGCTTTATTGGCACCGCTGATTCTCTCCCGCCTCTCCTGCGTTAAGTTCTCCCTTATGCCACCACTGGCCCTGGGAATGGTTACAACTAGGTCTTATTTTCAGGGTAGGTCTTATATTTTAGCCATTCCCAAAAATAAGACCTAGTACTATTTTCAGGGAAACAGGGTAGACAATAAGGTGAAAAAGTATAAAGTATAAATGTTTTAAATTTTTATGTTCAAGTTTCATGAATTTAAATCGGAACTCAAGATATCTGAGGTGAAGCAGAAAAAAAAATTAGTATTTTGGCATTCAACATAAAATCCTTTTTAGGCTGGATTCACACCTGGGCGTTAATTTAGGCGCGTTTTTTCAGCACGTTTTTTAGTTCAGTGAAACACGCGTTCAACGCTTGTTTTTATACCTCCCTGGCAGTATGATTTTTTTTTTTCCTTTCTTTCTCTATCTTTTTTTCTTTAACTTTCAAACTTCCCACTGGTTCCGCCCCCCTGCAACACGTACGCTCGCAAGGGATGGAACCCGGAAGACGGCAGCGGCCGGAGTACACAGCGGGGATCGCGGACTAGGTAAGACCTACGCTGATTTCCCGAGTGTGGCTCAGGATTACTGCTTTGTTGACCCCGAGCCACACGCGGGAATACCAATGGATACAAGCGGAAATAAGCCCCAAAAGAAGCTCCTGTACTTGTTTGGGCGTAGGGCGTTTTTCAGCACGTTTCTACACGCTAAAATACGCCCAGGTGGGAACCACACCCATAGGAAATTATGGGATTTCACTTGCTGAGTGTTTTTCAGCGCTTCAGCACTGCAAAAACGCCCAGGTGTGAACCCAGCCTTAGAGTCCTTTGAAGTGTGTCCTTCTCTGGCACATGTCTCTGCTGCCACAAATCCCTACCTCCCAGCAAATGTTTTTATTTTACAGAAGGAAAGAAAACAAGCAAACCAAAAAAAAAAAAAAAGATAAGAAAAGTAGGCCAGTCCAGAATAACCACTTCTACCAGCTTGCCTCAGTTTTGTAGACAGGTGGGTGGGTACCTGTTCTCCCGCAACAAACTGTAAGAAAAGGGATTTTACAGAGTACAAAAATCCAATTTTTTCTCGTACATTGAGGGACACAGAAGTCTTTGACCTTTGGGACATCTAAAAGCAGTCCAACTGCAGGGGTGGGCAATAAAACAAACACGAACAGGTCCCAGAAAACTGGGGACTTTCTACAGCTCAGACCTCAAGGACCAATGCCTGAATCTGGCATCAGATGAGGCCACAAAGCCCACCTGGTAGAACATGTGAACAGAAGACCAGGTGGCAGCCCTATAAATATGGGAAACAGCAGCCTGATACAAAAAAAAAAAAGCCCAGATGCTCTCACAGATCTGAATTATCTTGCACATAGGTTTAAGCAAATTTAAAGTATTTTTATATATTTTCATTAATATGTTTAGGACTAAAAACATGTTTTTTGTAAGGTAAAAATGAAATCATGCAAATATTTAAAACTAAGGCTACTATGTGAACCTCAAAGATTTTGTCATGTTTACGCTTTCTATCCTTAGCCGATTTGTTGAAAAAAATAATCCAGTTGACAGAACGCAATAGCCCTAATCGAGAGAGAGGGAGGGATAGTGTAGTGTGCAAGAGCACACCAATCTAAAACAAAGCAGCTTCTGCTGGGCTTAGTTTAGCAAACCCTTATGGCTTGTCCACATGAGTTTCAGGTCCGGATCAGGTGCGGATCTTTGATGCATTCCAGTTTTTTTTAAAAAATTTTGTTTTTTTTTGCTGGAGTGGGGCTGTCAGTATGTTAGCTGCAGTGCGTTTGATGCGTTTTTGGACCATACAAAATGTGACATGCAGTATTTTTCTGTCGTAACCTGAACGGATTGCGCACGTGAGAACTGTAGCCCATAAAACACATAGGGATACATTTTTAGTGCAGGAGCGTACGGATCAGGTCAGCACAGAAAACGGATGTCGTGTGAACAGGCCCTTAATGCTCTTAACCAGTGTATTGCATGCACCTTGTATGGATTAAACAAAAAAGTTTAAAAACGTGTAAAAAAAAATCAAAAAAATCCTTTTTGGTGATCCTTTAATACATGAAGGAAGGTCCAGAATGGCTGTAAAGACACCTTGTGGGAATTTTAGTATCTATTCCTAAATAAAAGATACTAGTAGAAGATTGTGTCTAACCAATATTCTACAAGAAAGAGACTTACCCCCATAAGGCAGCGGCACATATTGGCATATGCAACAGAGAAGTTTGGCTCTGAGATGGCTTTCTCAAATATCAGGTCAATCACACCCTTCAGCCGGTCCTCTGTGTCTATGGCTAAATCGGTGACTTGCTTCATGAGTTGTTGAAACATCTGTGGTGTGAGCTTGTTAAGGATACTGCGCACGCTGCGGAACAAATCCTATACAAAAAGAATGAGAGAAGAAAAAGGCCATTAGCACTGCTGGTTCGGTGTTCACATTGCAGATGACATTTAACAAATGCATGATAATATAATATAGTTCAAAGGAACTTTTACACGAAAATTACAGGAGGTGTTTCAATTTAACTTTAACAAAAGTGCTAAAAATGCAACCAATTAAAATAACGTCTAGTCAACCTATAGCGAGGATGTGGATCTCTCATTCTCCGCCTAACCTTCAACAGCGGGCAGACAAGATTAACCCATATCAGATGAGAAACTGACTCATCAGCAAAAAACAATGTGATCAGCATGGTTATCTATGCCAGTTGTATCACCAATGGAGATTCTGCTGCACAGATTACTAGCCTAAGGCCCCGTTTACACCAGGGCACAGCAGGAACTGTATAAGCAGAAGGTAGAAGATTTTCTGTGCTCCTCAATGGACAAGAAAAAAAAAATGAAGCAACAGTACCCCCAACACATGTAGCAGGTATCTTCACAGAGGACACTTCAGTTTGCTTGTCAGTCTAAGGCTGACTTGATAAAGAAATGAGCTGCATACAGCTACAAAACATATGAATACAATATTTCATGTAAGCCTGGATATCCATTAAAGTAAACCAATTTGTGTAAATCAACTTGCACATAGGTTTAAGCTGTATGGTTCTGGTAATGTTGCTTTGTTTACAATGCAAGAAAAAGTTTTTTTGTGCTTTCTTTTAATAAAAATTTAATAAAAATTGATCCGATAAAAAATAAATAGTATGCGGCTCTAAAGTGAGGCTATACCACCAACCCACCTGTGTTTTCACTGCTCCTGGATCATCTTCATCACCAGCTCTCTTGTTCAGTGGTTTCCATGCTTTCTCTGCTTTATTCAGCTGAACATTCTCATTTATTGACACCGCTGCAATAATTTTTCGTGGCTCCTTTCGCGGTCCCTGTTGAGATCGCCGAGGACCCATTCCAGCAGGCTGCAGAAGTAAAACAAATGTAAGGGTTCGGACACTTTCCACAAAGCTGTTTAAACCAACTAGCGCCATCAAAATTTTAACTACAAGTTCATGCCACAGAATTTGGATCTTTTCCGTGCCAGGACCAGCTTATTAAAATGTATTGAACAACATTGCTGCCATGATGCTATTTGACACCATGTTCTAGTTGAAATTATATTCTGAAGTGTAAAACAAAAGTAAACAAAAACACTTACGGGTGGTCCACGATTCCCCATGGTAGGTTTACCAAGATTGGCAAAATGTGGGGTGAAGTCTGGCCCAGCGTTCATGCCAGCCAGTCTTGCTGGATCTATAGGCCTAAGAGGAGTCTTATTTGCCTTTTAAAAACATAAAAAATAATATGGTTAGAAAAAAAAGTGACAGTAAACTATCTCAAAGAAGGGGAATGAAAAGATACTCACCTTGTCGAGCACTACATCGGTAATCTGAGGGAGACCTTCTGGTTTTTGCATACTGGCCACGATAAACTGAAAGCCCAGCAAAAACTCCCGATCATAGCCTTTCTTTTCTTCAGGGTTCAGAGGCTTCCATTGCTCTACAGGAAGAATACATAAAGTAAGAACCTTTAAAATATGTGGACTATTAAACATTTTAAATCTAATTAGCTTTACTTAAGAGAACTATGGGGTCTGGGCTTTTCCCCATTGTTCTAAGGGTCACAGGAGAACACAAACTAGCGTTTTCCCGTGACCCAAAGCTCAGTACTCCGCGAGCTATAGCTTTCGGTATACTGAGACGCCACAGCCGAAACGGATCCCGACAATTATGTCTGGATCCATCCAGCTGCGGGATTGACAGCTGGCTCTGCCTATCCAGAGGCGGGGCCAGCTGTGCCTGCCCCCTCCCCCGACCGTTCCTCCAGTCAGCGCTGGAGGATCAGACAGGGGAGGGGAAATCCCTGCAGGAAGCCGTGAGTGACAGTCACAGCTCCCTGCAGGGATAGATCGAGAAGTGAGCAAGCGACGGTATGTGTTCGCTCACTTCCCAATCTACTGAGCCGACCTGTGACAGTTTCATTGTCACAGGTCGGCTCAGATTATGAGGCGGAGTGAAAATCACTGGCCTCCTAATTCTCCTTTAAGTCAAGATTTGGCTTTAAATTTTTAGGACCCAACTCCATCCAAAATGTTTTATTTTGGAAAGAGTGGGGAAGGTATAAAATGCCTGGTTTTATTGCCAAATATGCTGAAGACTTACCCTCTTTGTATTTGTACTTCAAATCCCCTGGCTTAATATTTTCAGCATCCAACTTGTCTTCCTTCTCCTCCCATGTCTCGTCTTGCTCTTCAGCTGGGACATTAGGGGTCTGCTCCGGTTCCGGTGCTACAGGAGGTGGTATAGCAGCAGATTCTGTTGTTTCACTGGAGCTATCTACATCCTGATAGGATAAAAAAAAAAAAAAAAAAGTAAAAATAAAATTCATACTACCCTAACAATTTTAGTTTTTTACTCCGTTTTAAATCTGGTAGTGAGAAAAAAAATTGAAATAAAATATATAAACCCACATACAAAAAAAAAAAGGAGGCAAATTATAGAAACCTTTCAGAGCTGTGGAGTACTTCCTGTCAATTCTGAAAAGCTACAGTATCCACACAAACGTGTTAAATTGTAGTATCTGTCAGGATATGGAACACACATCCTGCAGAACATTCCTTTTAAGCAGCAGTTGTACAAAAAAGCCACTAGCCCGATTTTCTTCCAACTAGTCAAAAGTTGTCCAGCCTGCTTGAAAGAGGAAAATGCGATTGCAGACAAAAAAATATATATCGTCGGATCATTGTAAGATGTATGGCCACCTTAAGGCTACATGGAGATCTGCTCATCTGTATGGGGACACAGGTAGGTTGAAAGAAATTAAATGGGGAAGGGACAGGAAGCAAGACTCTGGCTTGTCGTCCTTGGAAACCAACTTCTGCACCCCAGTATATGAGAAGCTGGATTACCAAATGTCCACAAAGGCTGAAAGTGGGCTAAAAGTTTGGACAGTGGGAGCGCCCCCTCAGGTTGAAGAGTTATCCGAGGGTTCAGGGGACTGGGAAGTCCATGGTTTGCAGGCAGACTGGGAACCAGGCTTATGCTTGGAGGTCGAAGCCTAGGTGTAATGAAAGTAATTCTTTGCCTCCCAAGAGTTCTAGGCTTCTTCTGATAGGGCAGATGAGTACCCTTGCCCCCAATGAAGAGGGTGTCCAGGGTAATTTCAAAGAGATGCTGTCCCTTAAAAGGATATGTGGAGCAAACATTATAAACTAAGGATTCAACTGCCACAGTGATCAGATCCATTCTGATGGCCTTAGCCCAAAGTTTGGCAGATGAAGGTCACAGTCAAGAGAGTTGTAGTTCTAGCCCTGTCAGAGAACACAGTGCTAGAAAATGCCTCCAATGTGCTCGTCAATGGGGCCCTTTATAAACAGGTGCATTCTCCATGGGGATAGTTAAAGCTTTGTTAATATGGAATAATGCCGGATGCACAGAAGGGGTAGTCCACCTTTTAACAAAGTCTTCCTGAAACGAGGAGGCAAAGGAGCTGCCAGCTTTGTTTGGGAATTCTGAAAGTGGCCGGCTGCCACTGTCAGGATAAAATGCGAACAGCGTGAGATTTCTCGATCAATGCTCGTAAGCGTTGGAGGAGTCTAATATTTTCCTTGTTGAGCCCGCGGGTTGACCAAAGAAAATATTACAGTCCATGACCAGCTTTAGACTACTGATTTGGACACACACCCTACCTACAGTGTAAAAAGGCAGAATCTACAGGCTAAATCTACAGTTTCCTTATAAAGCTTAATCTTCTGTTACAATGAACGAACAGGTAATTCACCTCTTTGAACGCGTCCAACAGATCTCCAACCGCATCTTTCTTGTTTAAATCTTTTATTTTCCTTTTCTTTTTTGGTACAGACAGAGCTGTGGGAAAGAGATGAAAAGTTATCTAAAAATACAGGGCGAAATAAAAATGTAAACAATAGATTTGAAAACAGACGCCAATAGCAGTCATCTCTCAAGAAAGAAACACAACACCACCACCACATGGAAATGTATACCAAATTCAATGTACCGATGTGAAAGCTTGTAGTGATTTTACTGCATCAGTGACAAGGGTCATAAATAAAAGAATGTGCTGTTGGTATGCAACAGCTGGACGGTTCACCTCCATCAAAAAAGGCTTCTGGCATTCAGCTAACATCAGAAGCCAACTCAAAACCTAGCATCCCAAAATAAAAGCGGATTTTACTCTACTGGAGGACACAATAAGATACACCTAACAGGGCCGCTCTCAGGACATGTTTGTAACCAAGTTATAGGCCTGTAAGAGAGAACACAGTGCTTGTCAGTGGGGTCCTTAAAACAGGTGAATTCTCCATGGGGATAGTTAAAGCTTTGCTAAGATGGAATAATGTTGGATCCACAGAGGGGGTAGTCCACCTTTTAACAAAGCCCTCAAACAAGGAGGCAAATGAGCTGCCAGCTTTGTTTGGGTGTTCTGACAGTGGCCAGCAGCCGCTGTCAGAATACAATGCGAACAGCGGGAGATTTCTTGATCAACGCTCGTAAGCGCTGGAGGAGTCTAATATATTCTTCGTTCAGCCTGTGGGTTGAACAAGGAAAATATTACAGTCTATGGCCGCACGAATCCTTTGCATGCATATATTAGGAGTGAATTGGAATTTTGCCTTTGCTTTCCAACTCCAAGAGTGATGCTTGTTAAAGTATCATTAAAGTCTGGACATTCTGTGCATTAAGGTAAAAACTGCCCAGTACCTTTGTGTATCTCTCTCTCTCTCTCTCTCCCTCCCCCCCCCACACACACACTTAACTGTCACCGCTACCAGTCCCAAAACGATCCACTGTTCCCCATTCTTCCTGGGTCCGGGGGAGGATACTGATGGTAGAGGAAATATAGGCTCCTTCTGCTATCAAACTGTTGGGCGGAGAGGGGGGGGCGTGGCCGGCCACAGGGCTGCATGTGTATGTACACACACAGCTACTGCGGGCACGAGGGCGCCTCCACAGCAGCTGCTTAGCTTGGAGGTACCTGTTCAGGGGGCGGGAGGGATGAGCGCTGCAGGGACCCACTAGAAAACAAGTAAAATTTTATAGAAGAAGATTTATGCAAAGGTGGGCATCCTAGGTGGCAGGAAACAAAAAAAAAAAAAGCAATTTAAACTAAGTTTTCAATTATTAAAATTTCCTAGGAGGGGCCAGAAAGTTAAATTCCTGGCTTCTTTATTTGTATGTTAATGAAGTAAAAGAGGAAAACACAATCCTTAAATTTCAGTCTTTCAATAAACACAGATCACTATGAGGGTGCCCAGAAAAACATGGAATCAGCCATGTCTGCTGCAACAAAACATCTTCAAAATGATCTTTTGCTATGCTGTGTGAATAGGAACAGATAAACATGTAGATGGGTTTTCTCACATTTGACTGCAAAAGTGGAAATACTCCGAGGTCTTAAATTAACCCATAACTTCAGTTTAAAAATTTAATTCTGACACCATGGAAAGAAGTTCCTAAATGCCTCCTCAGTCAGATATCGGAATCAAGCCTTGTAGTACTCAAGATGTATGCCAACCTCTCTGCAGCACAACTTTGAAGATGCAGATTTTAAAGCATGTACATATACAACCGATATCTTACAAAGAAAGTGGTGTGGGTCCACACACACAGTTAAAGGAAAATTAATAGTTTAGGGTTGATTTTAAAACATTTTATATACATGTTCTCACTATTTATATACACCCCGTTTTACAAAATAAACATGACCACTCTGTGGTTTTGTGCACAACTTTCAGAGCTGCTGACCAAGAGATACCAGGAGGTCCTCCAGATAATTGAACAGACTACTAAAACATTCCTATCCATTATTCTACACCTGCCTGAAGGGAGGAAAAAAAAAAAACTTAAACTTGTACGTTTTTTTAGTTCTAGCCATAATAAGGATAATAAAATATATACTAACCCACTATGCATTCCCTAAAAAGCCATTCCTTTTATTAAACATGGATACTGTTTAACCATTCGATTACATACTGCATAGGTTTCCAAGTTGAGAGTACAAACTATACCTATTTCTACTAGTCAGAAGAGTACATGTGTGTTGTGTTGTCCTCTGCTCTTCCAAAACTGCCAGTAACGGGGACCCCATATTTCTATCATGACAATTCCTATTAACATTAGTTATCAAGAACTGGGGGTTAACTGTAATGGGAGGTGCTCTATGGTTGACAAGGACAGGATTCCCAAATGCAACTGGTGGACCTTATTCTTTAGCTTTTGTGTGCCGTATTACACTTAATTTATAATAAACCAGCCCCCAAATCCAAATCTCATATACAACATCCCTCCCCAATATCTTTTCTGTTATCTACTGCTTACATTTTAGCAGGCCTTTAAAAAAAAAAACCTATACTCAAATGTTGCTAAAAAACAGACCAGGGGACAAATGGGACCAAAAAGATCCAATTCAGCCACAGTTCAGTTTTCTGCCAGGGACTTAGGGTTTTAATAAAATTCTTCTTCCGAGGTTGTTTTTTTTAAACATACATTTAGCTACATTACACAAAATATTTTTCTAATGAATTCTAACTTTGCATGGATCTTGCATTACCTGGCATATAGACATCTGTGCTTTGTTTTGGAGCTTGGGCAGGAGTTTGCTCTGGCTCAGCAATAGGCTCTTTCCCAGTATCCTCCTCTTCTGGTGTAGGATCAGCAGCAGGTACCAGTTGCTCCTCAGGCTCAGCTATGGGGCTTACATGAGCCTCTGGCTCTGTGTCCTGTGCATCAACTTCTTGGAGTCCAGGGCATCCTTCACCATTTGTTAGCAGTTCTTCTGGCTGGGCGATGGGGGAATCCAATGTGGGCTCGGAATGGCAAACCGATTGTGGTTCTAGATGTGCAGGTGGCACAGACACTTCTTCAGAGAGGCCATTAGTTTGAACGTCCGTTGTAGCCAGAGGATCCTCAAGGGAATTTGATCCCTGTACAGACTCTGGAGCAGGTTCCTTTGTTTCTGCAGCTAAAGGCTCAGGTGAAATTTGGGTTGGAGGAGCCGGTTCTTCAAACTCTGTTTCTGGAGCTACTACAGGGGTATCCTGTTGTTGCAAAGCAGCCTCCTGTGAAACAGACTCATCAGATGGAGGAGAATAAATATTAGATTCCTCAGGGGGCTGTACAACGGGAGCTTCTGGCAGAGTATCTGCTTGTTGGACAGTTGTCTCTGTAACGGTCATTTCCATCGGGGCTAGGTTCTCTAAAACAGATGTAGGAACCTCTGGCTGTATTGATACCTGAGATGAAGGATTTTCCAGCAAGGGCACTTCCTGTGAATTGAGAGCCCCTAGCAAAGGTACCTCAGGTGTAGTGTTATCAAGTGTTAAGTCTTGCTCACAAGCCATGTTCATTTCTGTTTCTATAGGAGGAGAGGGTGAGGGGCTCTCAGAAGTCTTTAACAGCACTTGGGTGTTCCTTGAGCTGTCATCTATCAAATAACAGATTGGAGATTATACAAAAGTAACAACTTTCAGAGTAGGAATCAGATAACATCATGCTTTTAAAGCAAATAGTCTTTCACTACAGAAATACACAAATTCTTTTCTAGGGTTAATAGCAGCATACAGACACCACCTAAGAAAAGGTACGACTGCCATCGACATGGATATATAGTATTCAATAGTTTGCCAAGCATGCACCAGGACCTATTCTAGTTCAGCAAAGTTTTGAAGGACATGCATAATATTTGGCACAGATTATATTGATATAAAAGTTGGCTTTTAACTCTGTGTCCTTTCTGCACAATGTACAAGCTAGCAATACAATTACAAACACTGCAATGGACATTCAAAGGTCAGGATACCTTTCTGATATTTGTTAAAAGCCTTAGGTTTACCATAATTATACCAGGATATACCTTTTATGTACTGTGATTTAACTCAGTTTCTTGAAAACTAATTATGTAGCATGGAGCAATGTGGTAAAATGCAAATCTATCTCAAGTACAAATTTCCTTCCCACTATACCGAATAAATGCAGAATGCATTGAAAATACGGGACAGAACTGTATTTCAAAACAAAAATAATGTGACCATTCAAAATTGCCATCATGCCCAATTGGTAGTTCCATAACAAGCCTCATACGTCTCCTAAGGGCAGCCATACTTACAAATCAAAACCTTAAAATACAACAAGCATGGTTCTTACCTGGACGCACTACAATAGGCACATGGACACTCTCTCCATTTGCCTGGACTTCAGAGCCTCCAGTTACAGACTAAAAGGGAAAAAGAAAGGCTTTGAGGTGATTTTTAAAAAAAATAGGAATATTTGCAATACACTAAAGAGGACTACTTCTGAATAAAAGCAGTATTTTAAATGCAACTACAGATTAACCTGAAAAATTATCAACTGTCCAGCTAAGTCCCTGTGGTCTATGATCCTTCCAAAGCCCCTTCTAACACTACAAATTTTATTTTGCTAAACCAAGCTCCAAAAAACCTGTTCAGGAATCTGTAATTATGGTTGCCGAGTAATTATCTGAAGATGGATTCTCCAGGCCTCAAAGTATAGTGAATTTTAAACGTTGAGTGCTATCTTGCTCCCTTCAGTTACTGTACCCATAAACATTTTCCAGATTTACTAAAATACTACTAGGTTTTTAGTGCAAAATATAGACGTGAAAGTCATTTCTTTATTCATTACATTTATACTAGAATAACTGCTGCTTTTTTTGCATTACTCCCCGCTTCTGTATGCCAAGGAATTTGGTGCGTTTAAAATTTAAAGGCAACCACCACAAAAGCGGACATTTCTAGGTTTTATAGGTCTCAAAGACCCCAGCGGCAATAACTTCTATGGCTCCTCCAACAAGGCTTACAAATGAATTCCGTACATGCATAACATCCATATTTGGTTCTTGGGTGAGGATATCTCCCCAACGGAATCCATGAAAGATAGAAAATGCCAGCAAGTAATTTAACTAGCCAGAAACCAAACAAAAACGAAGTACTAATTGCAGAGTTGGCCTATAAAGAACTGAAAATACACAACCACAATTAAAAAGATCGCAACATAGTGAGAAAGTGCTTTACCTGGGGAGGTGTCGGTGTTGACGAAGTTCTTCCTCCAGACAAGATTTCTTCTGTAATGTCTTTCCCTCCTTGGTTTGGGTCTCTGATCCTTATCTAATGAATAGATACCAGAAAATCAGCCTATACAAGTAGAGCCCCATGTATTCTAGTTTAGGGTAGCCATAAATAGGCAGATGATACACAGAAAAAGATGGGACATTGGCACATCTTTTAACTCATGGTGCACATTGTGACAAAAAAGATGTACAGATTTTATGCGCTTGACTAAAACCACCTTTATATCCTTATCTGCAAAGGGACAGACTGTTTTCACTGCAAATGGACTATGTACTAATATGAGCAATTTACACATCCAGAAACACAGAACAGCCTTGCTTGGTCAAGAAACACTCAAATCATTACTTATAGCCATCAGCCTTATACGGTCACCCCCAAATATTACACTGTAATGGTTTTAAAATATTAGAATGAAAAAAAATTGGCATCTTTTACACGAGAAAAAAAAGTTTATGTACATGAAGAGATAAGAAAACACTTCCGGGACCCAAGACCAGCCACGTGGAGACTGTGCACTGCCATGCGCTTTGAGATAAAAGACAGCCAGACCTCTATGGATAGCAGCCAAATTCCCAACTCCCAGGCACAGCAGACCAGTGCACAGAGGGCAGCAGGAAATCCACAGAGAAAGCTTTAGTAGAGTTCTAAGAGCAGCTGTTATTAACAGGTTAATCTGAGCACTGACACAGCAAAGCACTTCTGAGAAAGAAAGACATCACATGACTAAGCTAGGTATTACCGTCACACAGATCCCTATATATGCCTGAATACTAATCAGCTCCTTGACTGTGTACTAATCTAGAAATACTTTCAGAAAGACAGTCCAACTGTCATGTGAAAGCAGACAAAATGAAAGAATTACATTAGTTAAAAGGTAGGAAGTCATGAGACAATACATTGTTAGAGAATATAGGTATAAAAAAGGAAACCGGGAAGTAGGAAGACCAAGGAAAATCTTACGCGTTATGTGAAGGCTGCAAGCACTCTGTCAGACACCTGAACATAAACTCATAAGGCTTGTCTGAGATGTCATGGGTGGTGTTCCATCTGTAATTAGCTTTCCTCATAAATTCCCCAGGCCTGAGCTGTATTCTGAGGCCACTTTTACAAGACTGCCTATGCATTTATTATGCTACACCCAAGCAAAGTAATGTCAAATGAAAACGACTCGCAATTTTAGTGTCACAATTAGATGTCTAGTTTTGAAGTCTATTGGAGTCTTGCATTTTTCTGTTAGAGTTTATAATCCTAAATCCCTCAATGCACAATGCCAAATGGTGGAATGTACAAGCATACAATGGTAAAATATCAGCCTATTGAACAAAAAGTTTCTTCTAGTGATGTTGAACCTTATTTTTTTTTTCCACTACAGCCAATGAACGCACACCTGGGAGAGACCGGCCAAATGCGATAGACAGGATCAGAGGGAGTTTTGTTATGGAACCTCTGGTTGGGTTTCCTGAGGTCTCTTTAGTGGCTCTCCTTTCGGAATGGTCCCATCTTTTCCCTGACTGGTGTAGCGCACAGGGGAGGGAGCCTGTCAGGGTCCCAGGCTAAGGGAGATGCAGGAGGCCAAGTGTACAGAAACTCACCCATTGGCACCTAGGCATAAATCCTGCAGGGGGCAGGCAGCCCTAGGCTTTGCAGCGGTTCACCTCTTCCTCTCTGAGGCTCAGCATGGATGCAGCTGCGCCCAGATGCTGTCAATTATAATTCTGTGTGATTTTCCAGGTTGTGCCTTCCAGTTACTGTACCACCATGGAACGCATGGCACTTCCAGTCATGGAAGTTTTTGGTACAATGAAATAGGGCATATTTTAATTTTACTATTTTCTCCTCTTAAAAGGTTAAGTAGTTCTCTTTCAGGCGCTTTGCTGTGGCATTTTTATTTAGTCCTAAACTCTGCAGGTTTGGTCTGGCATATTAAGGAGAGGTGGGTGGGGAGCAGTGAAGGGGACCCTGGTTCTATGGGCAGTCCGTAAACAATTTAAAGGCTTCTGGACCAGTTCACTGCTAGTGTGCTGCAGGATAACTGTCTGTCTGCAGACCAAAGATGCTAGCGAGGCTTCCAGCCTGATATGTGTCTTCAGAGAGGACCTATCCATAGCTTTATCACAACTTGGATTCCTGGAGTAGCCTGGGCTCAGGTCAACAGAAGACCCCCTTGGGAGTCAGATATTAAACCTCTGGGATGGTACCACAGAATCCCTTGATACATCATTCTCTCTTTCTCCATAGGTACAGAGATCCCTCGTCTTGTGGATGTCTCTGAAGAACTTAGAGAAGGGAGTTTACTGGAAATGAGACAACCCAATCTCAATTACAATGGATGCAAGTCTAAAAGGATGGTGAGCCACAGTGGAACAGTATCCATTCCAGGGAACCAGGTCTCGGGAGATGGCAACAAGATCCTTTACCTACATGGAATTGAGAGCAATCTAGGAAGCCCTTCAAATGTTGCAAGATATTGTCTCCCAAAGACACATAAGAATCAGCTTTTCCTGTAAACCCGTAGGAAGGAACAAGGAGCTCCTTGTGATGGGAATTAAGCCAAAGGATCTGTTTCTGGCCAGAGTAACATTCTTTCCTTAAAGGCGATACACCTAAGAGGGAGAACCCCCCCCATCTCTGCAGACTTCCTCAGCTGCAAGTGAAATGGTGTCTGAACTGCAAGTTGTTCCAACAACTTTTAAATCACTAGGGGACCCCCCTCATTTTTTTTTTTTTTTTTTTTAGAGGAAATGCCCCTTTTAAGTTTTTT